AAAAAAATTTTTTTTGACTTTTGGCTTTTGGGTACTGGCTTATTTTACTTAGCATGATAGTCAAGAGATCCATAAAGAAGAATTACTTTATAAAATTTGCCAGCAAATGGATGAATTTGAAGACTATCAATGTACTTTTGATTCGCATTTCCCAGATTGCTAAAGATGTTCAATATTTTTTTTCATGTATTTGTTGGCCATTTGTATTTCTTCTTTTGAGACGTTTCTGTTTAGTTTATGTTCCCATTTATTAATTGGGTTATTTGATTTACTTTATTAATTGGGTTATTTGATTTTTTAAAGTAAATCAAGTAACCCAATTAATTAATAAATGGGCAAATGAACTGTGTATATTTTAATTACTATATAAATCGCCCTTCTCTCTTGTCTTTCCAAAGAGCCCACTAAAGGGAAGAAATCTAGTGCTATTAGTTAATAATCTGACTATATGTATACATACCCTGGGATCTGTGGACCAAATCTTGACTTTTTACTATTTTTTTAAAAGAAATAAAGTTTCACTAAAACACAGATATCCTCATTCTTTTATGACTTATAGGTCTACAGTTGAGTAGGTGTGACAGAGATAGCATGATGGGTGAAACCTAAAATACTTAATTACAACAAATTTGTCAACTTCTACAGGAGACCGATAGAAATGTGGAGTACACCAGTAATTTTGACAACTTGCCTCCCATATCTAATGTTTTATTTCTCTTAAGATCCCTAAAATAATTTCTAGAGCTTTAGCAGTCAAATAAATTCTTTGTATTAACATACAGCTCCATGGGATGGGGATTGGTATTCTTCACAGCCACCTGAGAACCTTAGCACCCATGTGGCCCATGAAGGCACACACTTAATGTTAAGTATGTCAACAAAAGCTGGCTTCTTTATTCTACCTTTGGGGAGAATCCCCATAAATACCATACAGACCGCAAAGGGGTATCTTGATAAATAATGTGATGTTTACTTGCTTTGAGAAGGGAGTTTACTCATTTTTTTCATGGATTGATGATAAAACCATGTTTTGTGACCTGTGTCTTTCTCTGATTTTCTCTGATTTTAGTATCATTTCTCTATCTAAAAGCATGAGGTGGCATGAAACCAAATTTCACTAAAAATATGCTTACTGTAGAATGTGCATTAAACTCTCACAATGTCCAGTAGAGAGTAGGTGTTCAACAAGGGATACTGAAAATATTTTGTAGATCTTGGTTAATGCATATTTAGCATTTTAGGTCTGAAACCTTAATATATATCCCATTTACACTTTGTTGTATTAACTGAATTACACATATTTGTATTCCCATTAAACACATGAATTATAGGTTGTTCTCTCTAGAAGCAGGTGTTCATTAAGGATCAGCACCTAGTCAAACAAGGAGACAGAAGCAGGATGGGCAGAGGGAAAAACCAAGCTATGATGCAGTTACAGCAGATCTTGACTCAACCCAGTGGGTATCTGTGGAATGAGTGTTGCCCATCAGTAGAATCCTGAATCATGCAAAAATGAGGAGAGCCTTCATACTTCTGTTTGCTTAATTTCCAGGTCTGGAATGTGTTTCCCTGTAAATGAGGCAGACACTAAGCAGTGGATTGCTGGAGGCTGCCTTAAGACCACAACCCTCACAGGTCCAGCATCTTTCCTTAAAGGGGGCTACACAGCCCACGCCCATCTCCATCAGAACTCCTGCAGTGAAGTCACTTGATTAGATTCACTTTGCTAGCTGTTAAGCTCTCTTAGGTTGCCACCTCACTGGTCAGCATATTATGTCTTTCCTGAGGGAAATATATTTTTGTTATACACTTTCATAATCAAACACCAAAGTGTTAAATCAAATTGTCTGAAATGTTTTCAGTGCAGTGTGAAATGGCAAACCTGACTATTAATTATCAATAACTATAATGATTCATTAAGTATTAATAAAAGACTTAAGATATAAGATGGTTAAAATAACATTATTTTTTGAGAGAGATGAAAACAAAGGAAAATTATGAAATAGAATGTTAATAGCTTTTTTTTTTTTCTCCTTGTGATTGGTACATCCTATGTCCCTTCCAGGGGAAAAAATAATGATGCTTATATTCTGAGAGAAACAAAGATGATAGTGTAGGCAAAGCCATGATATCTAACAATATTATACTCATAGGGCAAAATAAATCCCTCTTTTACATCATGACAAAGGGAGATTGGCATTCTTATCTGATGTTCAAATATTTATGGAAGTCATTTCAACCAAGCCTTTATTTTTCCTTATATTTCTATGTTCTTGTTTGACACAATGTACTGTACAACCTTGCTTTTGATAAAGGACTATCAGATTTGACTTAATGTTGCAGAGGAAAACATAATATTGCATGTTTAAGAAGATGGCATATTAAAAATGGACAAATTCCATTTTCATCCATCCATCAAAAGCTTATTAGCTCTACCATGTGCCTGATGCCTGCTTGCTGGAGAATGGACTGGCCCTAGTTGAAGTGCCTTTCAAATGCGCCTCCAGGTACAAATTAAGTTTGAGATTATCTATTTAATTATGTAGCTTTGTAGTAAATGAGAATAAGATTTATATAAAGCCTTAGGAAGAATTAAAGGCATAGAGAGTATATGGAATGATACAAAGAACAGGAAAATACCTAAAAGCCCCAAAGCCAAGGGTCTCCAACAAGTGCAGAAGGAGCACAGTGTTTACAGTTTGGAGAGAAAGAGAGCACTTCTGGATAACCTCTGGTTAACAGCAAGAATATGATCTTGGGCTTTGCACAGTTTAAATGTACATGGCCAGGTGAGATCATGTGGGGTAGGCATTTTGTTTAGGGATAGGAATTTGGGGCATAAAATACTTTTTTTTTAAACCTAGAAACAATAATATCTCACAGAACTATGGAATGGTGTATTTTTCCTATTACTATTGGATATTAAGCAAGTAAACAAGCCATTTCAATTAAAATGTGTCTCCAGTTTTTAACAATTACAGACCATATCTTGCCCACCAGTTAATTTCTGGTATTTACCATAGCTTTAGGATTTGATAGATGAATACCACTGTCCAGTTAAAATTTCAAAGCACATGTAAGTTTATGCCATTAAAGGAAAAAAAATACTGCTTTGATATAGTTTTGCACTACCCTTTTGTTATTTTGGGCCATGTGTGCATATTTTCCATAAATATTTTCCTGTTTTGTAGATGATTCAGATCAAAATCAGAAAAACATCTCATCAAATATCACCATCATCATAAGTACCCAACATTTAGTAAGAGTTTATTATAGGTTAGACGACACTATAGTCAGGGTATGATACATATCATCTCACTAACTACAAGATTTGGGAAAATGCATATTATTCTCTTTTTATAAATATAGACAAAAAATTAAAACTCACAAAAAATTCATATGGACAACTCCAATAATTTACTGGGAGGATTAAATGAGAAATTAATATTCAGGGCTTAGCTAAGAGACTGAAAATTAGGAAGAATAAAATAAAATAAACATTAAATATATTACTATAGCAATAAAGGATACTAGATTAATTATTAGATATTGACAAGGAATATGGTCTATGCAGCCTGCTGTCTAGTAATGTTCTTTTCTTCAGTTCACTTCATCTCTATTTTTTGTTCTGCACAACACTTCCCAACTTTGCCTCTTTTTCACATAGAGGGAAGTCATCATTGGCACAATGAATAGCTCCAAATACATAGCATTTAAAAGAGATGAAGGCTACTTTTCAATCCCATATTGCCCTGGTCTCCTTAGGTCAGTGTGAACCTTTGGACCTTCTTGGAAATTGGTTGAGATTTCTATTTACTCAGGGTGAATTGTAAGGATCAATGTTATCAAAGTTGTCAAGATGGCTTCAGGAGAGAGCATTTTGTACTCAAATCTCCTAATCTCCCACCAATGAAGAGCACACACCATCGATAAATTTCACATTGCCACCTGAAGTTCCTGACTTTAAGTATTTCTAAAATGGTGTAATTATCTTTTGCTAACAGTTAGGTGAACATTTTTGACCTATTTAGTGTATTTGAATAATTACACAGAAATGCCTAAAAGGAAACAAAAGATAGAGAATATTTGTCTAATTTGAAAAGCAATGTGCTATGCGCAGTGGCTCACATCTGCAATCCCCGCAGCTCAGGAGGCTGAGGCAGGAAAACCATTAGTTCAAAGCCAGCCTCAGCAAGTTAGCAAGACCCTGTCTCAAAATAAAATATAAAAAGGGAATGAGGATGTGGTCCAGTGATTAAGCGCCTCTGGGTTTAATCCCTGATAGCAAAAAAAAGAAAAAAAGAAAAAAAGGAACAAGAGAATATTCTAAGAGCAAGAATGTTCTGTTTCATCTAGACTCCCCAATTTCCTTTATTTCTCACATTCAAATGATCACTGCCAGGGGGTCCCGAAAGATGAGTGATGTCCGCACAAAGGATGAGACAAGGAGTCATTCCACTGGAGCAATCTCCAGAGAAAGAGCTCTGATGCAGCTTTCTCTGGGTCATCTTTTATTGCAATTTTTCTCATCATTATGGATTCAGAATACGTCATTGAACTCACAATTTCCAAATTTTGCCAAGATGTGACATTTCCTTAACAATCATTAGGGGTATAGAAAAATGTGACATCAATTTACATTTTTTTCAGGATGTGACATTTCCTTATCAATTATTATGGGTACAAAATCATTAATAAAATGCATCACTAATTTGCATTTTTCAGATTTTCCCAAGATGTACAATTTTTCCCAAAATGTACTATTTTCTTTTTGACAGAGGCCAAACTATGTAACCAGACTCTAAATCTCCTAATCTATCATTAACCTTTAAGTTTAAAGTACACCTGTACTTTATTTCTAATCTAAGATTCCCATCTAAAGAAGTCCCCTTAAATCTTATACTTAAAATATCTTAAAGTCTATAAACTATTCTTAAAGCATCTTAAGGACCCATACAGCTAAAAACTTAAGAATTCCAAACTTAACAATCTAAATAACATTTCTTATAAAGCTACTTTAATTAATTCCTACATTTATTCTCATAAAACTGGTTGAGCTGCTTTCTCAAAGAGTTTCTTTGTTTCTTAGTCAAGGTACACTAGTTCTTAGATCCTTGTAATCTCTTTCACTGAAAGGCAAGTTCTGAACATCAGTCCACTTACCGCCAATATGAACTATGCTCATCATTGGTCCCTATAGGAAGTAAAAGAGGATTTATAGAAAAGGGGGTAATGTATCTTTATTTGCCTTAACTTTCCTAAGTGTATAATGTAACTTTCCCTTAATCAAATAAAACTACATTGCTTATTGTGCAATAAGCACAATAATTAGGCTTTCTAAGAGGCCGGAGATATGGGCTTGGGTTCTTAGTTGATATAATCAATGTGGTGCCTAAAATTCTCATGACCTTTCAGAGAATGATTGTTGTTCATTATCACTTCTGTCCTCAATGTGCTGAGATAGTAGAGCATCCTTCTGTTTCGTCCTCAATATGCTGAGAGGTAGTGGAACAGCCTTCAAGGCATGAACTACCTGTTATGTTCTAGCCATCTGAAATCTAATTTGGTTTGGCATTAAGCATACTCATGCTTCCTGTCAGGAATATGAGCCTGAAAATGAAAAGTCCCAATTACATAAAAAAGGTTCTCATGGTTTTGGTTTCCCACCAGTGCAGCTTTGCCAGCACGCATCCTCACTGTGACCTTGTCAAGACAGTGGGAGGGGGAGCGTCTTCACCAGATCACTGCCCTGCTTATTTTGCTTTCTGAGCTCACACATCATCATCATCTCTATGTGGATCAGTCCTAACAGCCTCCTGCACAGTTGGCCTGCCAGCTGATTTCTAATAGTTTAGATCAACCTTGTCCATTATGGCAGCCTAAATTACATGTGGCTCTTGAGCATATATAAAATTTATTTGATTTAAATTAAATAACAATTTCAGTTCCTCATACACACTAGCTGTTAGCAAGAGCTAAATAGCCACAGGTAGAGCAGTGTCACCATATTGAAGATCACGGAGCATATTTCTACCACCCCAAATGTGATTTGGACCATGTCACTCTCCTGCTGTATGTTTTTTTGTGACCACCTCGTCCATTTCCCAAAGCAAACAAATCAATCTTGACATGGTCTATAAAACACATCCTGATTCCCTCCCTCATACATATCCTCCATTGATTCCTAAATTTAAACTGTACTCTTCTGTCTGAAAGTGTTCAAATATGCTGAACCTCTCCCTTGCTTAGGCTTGTCAATTTTTGCTTTCTTTCAATAGGATTTTCTTTCTTTTTTGTGTGTGTGTGTTTTAATCATACACCAGTCCTTTTCTTGTCTTTTTCATGGCTCTATCACTGTTAGCTCTGAAATTGCTTATTTACTTTGTATTTTTCCAAGAGTAAGCTACCTAAGAGTAAGGCCACCTAATGCAATGTGTTGATCATAGGAGGTGTTCAATAGAGTTGCATGAAAGAAGGGAGAAAGGGATGAGATGGAAAGGTAGGAGGGACAGGAAATGACAGAATAGCTCTCTCTCAGTGCTTAACTTCCATCATGCCTAATCTGGCCCTTTAATTTGATTGATGTGATTTGCATAAACATCCCTCAAAGGCCTGTGTGTCAAAGGCTTGTTCTCTTTCCCCTTGGAGCTTTTGAGAGATCAGGGAACCTTTAGGATCTTTTGTTAGGTTTTAGGACACTGGATGCATTCTCTCAGAGAGGATTGTAGGACCCAGGTCTCTTCCTCTTTGGCTTTGCACCCTGGTGGAGTGAGATGAGCTGCTTTGCTTTGCTGTGTACTCCTGTCATGAGATACTGCTTTGCTACTGACCCAAAAGCAACGGGGCCAACCATTCATAGACAAAAACCTCCAAAACTTCAGGTCAAAATATTTTTTTTCTCTAAAAGCTGATTATTTCAGACATTTATTACAGTAATGGAACACTAATGCATTTGTGCTTCTTAAATCAAAACTTCTAGCTTTATATGTGTATTTCTCTCTACAGAGGCTTTGATGCTTGTATATTCTTTCTGAGAAAACCCTACTCTTAAACAGATGCTTAAACAGATTCTCATGCTATCTCTGATCAACCCCCTTCCCTAACACATACATACACGTGCACACACACACACACACACACACACACACACACACAGCAGATATATAACCGTTCCCTTTGCTTTATTACAGAGTTTGCCATTTTTCATTCCAAGCAATGAGAAAGTCACATATCATGAGTTAGAAATGATAACTTCCCTCCAAAACATCTAGCATCATATTTGACAGTAAAAGGCAATCACCAAAACTTTACTAAAATTAAACAAAAATGAAATTTTTAACTTAATCTTTTCACAGGCTATAATGCTGCATTCTATTTTTCTGTTTTCAATCGCATCATTATACATCAAATTCTTTGTTATATATGGCATTTCTTTTTTAGTCTGGGAAAAAAAAACCATTGTTTTACTATTTCCAAAGGTATTATATAAATATTGAAGACTTGATTGTGAGTCAAAAGTGTCAAAGATTCACTCCAGAGCATTTTTTGTTTTGTTTTAATGTTACATAAAATGGTGTAAAAATAATAAAATATGAAAATAATGTTATTTTCCCAAAATATATGTGGAATAAATAGTAAAACAAAGCTGGGCATGGTGGCATACACCTGTAATTACAGCAGCTTGGGGGGCTGAGGCTGGAGGATCAAAAGTTCAAAGCCAGCCTCAGCAACTTGGTGAGGCCCTGAACAACTCAGTGAGACCCTGTCTCAAAAAACAAAACCATAAAAACAAAAAAGTCAGACTGGGGATGTGACAGAGTGGTTAAATAGCCCTGGATACAATCCCCAATACCAAACAAGAATAAAAAAAGCAAACAATACACCAACCCACCCACTGAGAGGACAAAACCACCAACATAGATCAGGAAAGTGTGATTTCCATATTTAACCCGAGGTTGAAAAAATATGCCTGAGAATCATTGTGTTGAGTGACTCTCTTTTATTCTTTGTGCAAAAATAGCAAGAAGGGTTTGGGTGCAATGGCGTATGCCAGAATTGCGAGTTTGAACCCAGCCTCAGCTAAAGTGAGGTGCTAAGCAACTAAGTGAGATATCCTGTCTGTCAATAAAATAAAAAATAGGGCTGGGGATATGACTCAGTCAATCCCCAGTACCCTAATCAAAAAAAAAAAATGCAAGAAGGATTGTTTGAAATTATTTTTTTTTTGTCCACATGGAATACAGATGACAGAATATTTCAGATACATTTGTTGTTATTTAATACAGAAATATTTGGTTGAATTCTTTCTACAAATAAAGATAATCACTTCCTATATTGGCACTTAATAAAGTATTTTGAAAACATCTACCATGCATTATCTCACTTAGACTGCACATTACCATTTCAGGTAAGCTATCTCCATGTTCTCATTATTGAGATGAGGTCATTGGGGGTCAGACCTACAAATTGGACTTAGCAGAGAAGTTGTCCCCTGGAGAAATCATCACAGGTTCCACAAATATTGTAGTTGGAGTAATGTAGTTCAAAAAACACCTTTTCTATCTGTTATTTATTTGACTATTATGATGATGGCTACAGTTGCTTGTGTGAACTACAGACTCAGTGCTATTAATGCAGTTTGTGTTGCTCTAGAGTCACGGGAAATAAGAAGAGAGCATGTTTTGACATTGGAAATTTGCTTCTATAATTCTGAAAGTGTTCTTGAAATTGTCACAAACACATGTTATTTAAGGTAGACAAAGATAGTAATTTAGCAGGGGATGGGGCCTTAGTGTGGCTTTGTGGCATTGGGGATGGTTTGAGGAAAAAGAAGTAGAAAGTTCTTTAAATGCACACACAAGGCTTTTACACATTAGCATGTCAATACAAGAGGTTGGAGTTTTGTCCCAAATATTGGTATGAAATGTATATAGCTGCACTGTGCTAATCGAGGAAATATATTTCTCAGGTAAAAGTTGTATTTGGTATTAGCAACAGCACGGATATAGAAGTGTGCTATTTCCTAACAATACTATTCAGTTGTCCCTTTGACCTATTCTCAAGGATGGCCTAAGTGTTATTTTCTTTAATTTACTTCTGATCTCTATAATCTTCTCTGAATTGGATAAAACTGGTGGCATAAACTTGTATCCGGTCAAAGTGCTGTGTTTTAAATTGGTCCTAAGCAACTGGCTTAGAAATTTTCCTGCATTTGTATCCTTAATTCCACAAAGTAAAATATGAAGTCTTTAGCATTTGCTTTTAAGGATACTACTTTAGACTTGAAACAGTAGTACTGAAGCCAACCAGGATATTTGTTGGATTAAAAATGAGGAAGTTTAAACAGGATTTCTGTGAATCATGCTTATCAAGGATAATGTACTTTCTAAAACCTGTCTATGGCACTTGAAAGGGACTGTCAGTTTCCAAAACTTCCATCTTTAGAACTGATATCAACATGACCCATGGATCCCAATTTCTCACATGCCACTTTCCTACTGTGTTAATGAGAAGTTTCTCTTATTGAAGGGTGATGATTCTCCCATGTGAATACTATTCTTCTAAAGAGAGATGAGATCTTTTGTCTAACACATTTTGAGTAATCCTGCAAAGGAATAGCTCATTTAATGTATGCCTATACTCAAGAAATAAGAATGGAGTTTTCAATACTGGAGATGCTAGGTCTCTGAGAATATAAATTAGAAGGCAGCTCCCTTTTGAATATGAAGAATAGGACCCAAATTGATTCTTCCCTCTTCTTTCCCTCTCCCTTACATCTTTTTTTTTTTTTTTTCTGTTTGTTCAGTACTGGGAATGAGTCCAGGGGCAATTTACCACTGAGCTATAGGCCCCAGGCCTTTATGCTTTCTATTTTGAGATTAGATCTCTCTAAATTGCTTGGGGCCTCACTAAGTTGCTGAGACTGGCCTTGAACTTGTGATCCTCATGTCTCAGTCTCCATAGCTGCTGAAATCACTGGTATTCACTGCTATACACATCTCCCACACGGTTCTTTAGCACACTGCTTCACCGATACTAGTAATCATAATAAATACTCAAAAAATACTTGTGCATCCATCCAGGAAGCAGTTTTTGAATAAGTGTA